ACTGGGCACATGTGCGTGTGTGCCCAAGATCCCGAGAGGAGAATGGAGGAGAAGGGATTGTGGTGTGGCCATCTCCCCTGGGGGGGTGATTTCTCTCTTTCTGTCTCTCTGTTTGTCTCTGTCTTTCTGACAAGAGCATGTGCCCTATAGCAAAAAGCCTCTAAAAAAAAAAAATAAAAAGAAAGAAAACTCTCTGGGGAGTTGATACTGTAAACCTCTTATTTTGTCCCTGTATAAATTTCAACAAGAGTTGAAATCAATTGAGGTATTACTGTAGCTTTTGAAAGTGACTTAATCTCTCTAGGTGTCATGCCCTTCTTTGTAAATGAGGTCTCAAGGTCTTCAGACATGTCCTTTGGATTCCTTGGTTGAGACTAAGTTTGCATGGGTGGCCTTCTAAACTCCTTATTCTTCCTTCACCTTGAGCTTCCCTGCTTACCTATTTATATATTGAAGTTCTAGGGCAGACTTTTGTTTATAAAACTCTAAAAGTAAGAAAAACACAAGGTTAGTATTGAGGTTTATTCCAGCCTAAGTTTTGTTAAATTTTTCATTTAAGAGATCTAATTTTTTTTAGAAATGGTATTTTAATTTTTATTCTGAGGGTATCTTTTTGTGGGTCAAACTAGAATATGGACTTTTTTTTAGTACAGTTTAACAAACTCAACAGCAATAATAATAGAGCACCCACAAGGAGGAAGTACAGTGTCCAGCTTAAGAGCATGGGTTCTGGAGGCAGATTATAGAACGGACCAGAAGCCTGCCATCACTAGTTTTGGTTTTGGGCTCTTTGCTCTTTGACATTGAGGATATTGGTTAACCTTTTCAAATCTCAGTTTCTTCATCTTTTTTAAAAGGGAGAACAATGTTTATTAGCTCATGTGGTTGTAGCAAGGATTAAATGTGATAATCATGGAAAAGACTTTATAAGTGCTTAATAGTAACAGTTAACATTTACTGAAAACTTCCTGTGTGCTAGCCACAGTTCTAGATGTTTTGCATGCATTTCTCAGTTACTCCTATAATAATCTCAGAAGAGGAAGCAGATACAAAGCAAAGTGAAGTAACTTGTGCAAGGTTATGGAATAGGGATGCGGAGGTAAGATTTGAGGGACCAGCAGATGGCGTAATGGTTATGTCGCTGGACTCCCATATGGTTGACCCCAGTTTGAGTCTTGGACCAGGTGATTTAAAATTCATGCCGGGCATGTGTGTACATTGCTGAAATCTTGAGAGGAGAATGGAGGAAGGATTACAGTGTGACCAACTCCCCTGGGGGGTGATTTATCGCTTTTTTATTTTGTCTCTGGCAAGTGCAAGCACCCTGTAAAAAAACTTAAAAAAAAAAAAAAGATTTGAACCCCGACTGTCTCATTTCTTAGTTATCATTTATTAGAAACAGTTTATATGAGGCATGTTGCTGCCTTTATTTTATACCCTAGTGTTTCCGGTAGTTTTTTTATTTTAAAAGTCTTGTAGTTTCCAAGATGGTCACTTTATTAGTTAATTATTAATGTAATTCATAGCAGCATCTTATAAGACCACAAGCTTTGGGACCTGTGGATGGTGTAATGGTTACGTCCCTGTACTCCCGTGTAGTCAACCATGGTTTGAATCCTGGACCTGGTGACTTTAAACTTACGCCAGGGTCATGTGTGTGCATGCATGTGTGCCTGCCCAAGGTCCCAAGAGAGATTGGAGGAGAAGGGATTGAAGTGTGTCCATCCACAGAAGGAAAGGGTGATGAATTCTCACTTTCTGTCTCTCTGGTGAACAGGAGGAAAGGGTGATGATTTCTCACTTTCTGTCTCTCTGGTGAGTGTATGTGCCCTATAGCAAAAATCTCTCAAAACCAAAAAAAAAAAAAAAAAAATTAAAGACCACAAGCTTCATTTCATATATGGAAGCCAGCTGTAAACTAATGAAATTGAAAAGATACTGTTGTCTTCCTAAAGCATTTTGTTGTTGTTGTCATTATTCTTCATAGAGTGTCTCATAACAAGCCAATACTCCCCAGGGGATGCTATTATTGTGATTGCTTACTGTTGGAAAATTTATTGAAACCAGTTGTGACATGTTAATAGCAAAGGACTACCAGCCAATAAAACATGGCTGATATAAAACATACTTAACAATTTGTGCCTTCTTGTCTGAAAAAAATCTCCAGGAGGGTACCCCTACTTTAAGTTTTTCTAAAAATATAGTCTCTCGATCGATTTTATTAGGAGAACAACACTGATTCTCTTTCATTCAAAAGTTAAAGGCTATACCAAAACTAGCGAGAACCTAGTTAGAACTTGTTTCCATGTGAAGTCTCTGTGTGAGAACTGTGCCTTGCTCAAATGACTGTAACAGATTAGTTTGGAGGCCCTATAGAACCTCTCCTTGAATTAGAATATCTCAGATATATATTTATTTATCAATTTTTCATTTTTTGGCTTTGCCAATGGACTTCCCAAATACATTTGAAATTGTTGGTAGTCCACGTTGTTGCAAAATAATTGCACTCAGAAGAACCTCTCAGACTCTCATTTTGTCTTAGATACAGGTTTTATGTTACTGATTGTTTAGAGCCAAGGATAGCAGTTAGGGGTGATCTACTGAGCAGGTCAGCAGGATATCGTTCAGTATGTTCATCTGAATTCACATCCTACTTGATGGTGTTGGAATATTTCTGTTTAAAAAAAATATTAAGAAAAAAAATTAGGAGCCAACAGGTGGAATGGTAGTTAAGGGTGCTGGACTCCCATGTGGCTGACTGGTTCGAATCTGGACCTGGTGGCTTAAACTCATGCCGGGCGCGTGTATATGCCTGCCCAAGATCCCGAGAGGAGAATGGAGGAGAAGGGATTGCAGCGTGGTCATCCCCCTGGGGGGGTGATTTCTTGCTTTCTATCTCTCTGTCTTTCTCTGTCTTTCTGGCAAGCACACACACCCTATAGCAAAAAGCCTCTCAAAAAAAAGGTCACATATATTCGTGTATGTGTGTGTGTATATATACACACACACATACACACATGTATACATATGTGTCTATATGTACACATATATAACATATATATGTGTGTATATATTGTATGTAATACATATATTTAAATATGTGTGTACATGTAGTCACACACATTATATAGTACACACACATATATATAGTTACACACACACATATATATATATATATATGTAGTTGGGAAAGTCCTGATGCATTTTTGCATAGAAAAACAGAAAAAAATATGTCATTACTTTCTCTTATGCTTTAAATGGTAATCATTGAATATTCTGGATTAATGGGAGGATATATAGTAGAATTTAAACACCAAAACCAAAACATGTTAGTTCTGTTTTTTTAGAATATAAGAGCTATAGAAAATATGAACTTTTTAATATTTATTTTCTCTTTGTTTATTTAGAAAAAAGTGGAACCATTTGCCAGTGTTCTTAGTCTTCCATACCCATTCACTTCGGAAATTAAAAAAGTTGCAGTGTTTACAGGGGTGAGTAACTTTTGTCAACTCTTCATTTATTTTAGAAATCACATTAGCCATTGATTAGAGTTAGAGAAAATCCTAGAGCTCACCTGGTCTTATTTCCTCCAGTTGGAGCTCTAAGCGCTTCCATGAGTTATTTGAGGTTATGTCAGTTAAGAAAGAGCTAAACTGGGACATGAATCCCATCACTGCCAGTCCATCATCCGTATATACTCTAGTGAGAAAATTGAAGTGTGGAACTTAGACTAGTAACTCTTGCTTCTAACTCCAGACTTCTCTTCTCAAACAAACAGATTTTAAAGTAAATAGGACCACTTAGGACTGTAGAGAATCCACAACTTTTGAAATGAGTCTGGAAAAATCAGTCAAATGTATAACAAATGTAATAGCATAGCTCTTTGTCAATTTTTTGTAGTATAGACATTTATTTATAATGTGATTATTCATTTGTTAAGCATTTTGATTCTTCTCCATCTAAAGTTCAAACATGAGACATCTTAAAGTTTTCTTCTGGCTTATTTTTTAAGAGGAACCTCTTTCCTCCCAGGAAAGTGGAGACTGTAGCTGCTGGAAAGTCACAGAAGTGTAGTAACAAAGGGAGTGAAGCATTTTCACAGTAAAACTAGATGGTATAAATGGAATATAAAGAAAATAACTAATATGTTAAAAAATGTTTTAGATACCTAGCTAAGTTTTGTTTCTCCAATCTCTTAAATTAAAAAAAAAAAAAAAAAATTCCTGGGCCAGCCCATTACTTGGTGGTTAAGGTGGTTGGATTCTACATGGCTGACCCTGGTGGTTCAAGTTCTGATTCAGCGGTTTGTGTGTTCATGCCCAGAATCTCAAAAGGAGGGAGAGATGGAAGAAAAGAGATTATGGTGTGACCATTCCCGGTGGTGGTGGTAATAAGGAGTGATTTTTTCATTTTCTCTCTCTCTCTCTCTTTCTGGCGAGTGTCTACACCCTCTGGCAAAATTAAGAAGGAAAAAAAAGTATGTTGGTTTGATAAAATGTCTTTATTTAAGTTAGCAAAATTAAATATATTTAAATATGTTTTTTTAAAAATAATTATTTATTGGGAACCAGCAGTTAGCGTAATGGCTATGTCGCTGGACTCCCACGTAGTCGACCGCGGTTCGTGTCCCGGACCCGGTGACTTAAAACTCACGCCGGGCGCCTGTGCGTGCGTGCCCAAGATCCCGAGAGGAGAATGGAGGAGAAGGGATTGCGGCGTGACCATCCCCCCGTGGATGCAAAATCCAGATGGCCTGGCAGATGGAGCCCTCGAAGACTGGTTGAAATGTCCCAGACATATCCATCACTTAAACACTCCATAGGAACTTTGAATAAACTGAAAGATCTGAAATTCTATGGACTGTAGAAGGCAGTCAGCTGTAAAGTTCATGTGCAGAAAACATGGTTGATTATGACTTCTTAAAGGAAACTTATTGTATTGCATTTCTGTATTATTTAATCATTTGGTAGTTTCAGAAAAAAAATCCATCAAATAGTTTAAAAAAAATTATTTATTTAATTTTATTAATTGTTATTATTATTACCAGAGAGAGAGGGAAATATGAGAAAATCAAACCATCAGGCCCAGGATGATGATATAGTGATAGCACTGGAGACAGGTCAGATCATTTGATAGGTTCTTAGTTTGCCATTTTTCTTTTTCTTTTTTTTTTTTTTTTGGAGAGGTTTTTGCTATAGGGCGTGTGCGCTCACCAGACAGAGAGAGACAGAGAGATAGAAAGCGAGAAATCACCCCCCAGGGGGGTTGGCCATGAAGCAGTCCCTTCTCCTCCAGTCTCCTCTCGGGATCTTGGGCATGCATGCACACGTGCCCGGCGTGAGTTTTAAGCCACCGGGTCCGGGACGCAAACCGCAGTCGACTACGTGGGAGTCCATCGACATAGCCATTATGCTAACTGCTGGTCCCTTAGTTTGCCATTTTGATGTATTTCCCTATATGCTAGTCAAGAAGCACCTTGATTATTTACAAACTAAACTTACTTTCAGTATAATATTTCTGATACATCTAGTTGAAAAGTGATGCATTTTCAATGAAAAAACAATTTTTACTTTTAGTTGTGACATTTTTTACAAAATACTTGAAAACAAACTGCATTTGTTTTAAATTAAGGATGGATGTTCAAACTGCTGTTGTATTTTGGTAGAATGCATCAGAAATTGAAATAGCGGAAGAAAATGGAGCTGCATTTGCAGGAGGAACTAATCTGATTCAGAAGGTACAGTGTTGTTTTCATGTTCAAGCGTTATAAAGATTGTTCTGTTATCTTTGCCACTTACTGATTTTTATTACATGTGGAACGTAACCACTGGTCCCATATCTTTTGATAAATGGTTTGTAGGGATTTATAAAATGGAGAATGTTCCCCACTTTTTCAGTCTCAAAATCAAGGTAAGAAAAACTATCCATACAGTCTGATATTGATTATACTTAATTTATATGGATGAGTTTTTTCTTTTTTTTTTTTTTTGTTTGTTCTCTTTTTGTCAATGAGTTTTAAGGGTACTCTGGAAAGGGCAATATGACTCTGGTTTTAATGTGAGATTTAAAGTGAAATCCAGAGATCAGCAGATGTCCCAATGGTTATGTTGCTGGACTCCCAAGTAGTTGACTGTGGTTCAAGTCTCAGACATAGTCACTTAAAACTGATGCTGTGCATGTGTGCCCAAGATCCTGAGAGGAGAATGGAGGAAAAGGGATTGCGGTATGGCCATTCCTACTGGGGGATAATTTCTTGCTTTCTGTCTCTGTCTCCAGCGAGTGCACACTCCCTATAGCAAAAATCTCTCTAAAAAAATAATAGAGTGAAATCCAAAAGGCAGCGGACATGAATATTTCTACTCATGTTTTTTTTCTTTTCTTTTGTAGAGATTTTTTTTGCTATAGGACGCATGCACTCGCCAGACAGACAGAGAGAGACATAGAGACAGAAGGTGAGAAATCACCCCCTGGGGTGCCGCAATCCCTTCTCCTCCATTCTCCTCTCGGGATCTTGGGCACGTACGCACATGCACCCGACGTGAGTTTTAAGCCACCGGATCCGGGACGCGAACCGTGGTCGACTACGTGGAAGTCCAGCGACATAGCCATTACGCCAACTGCTGGTTCCCTCTACTCATGTTTTAAAGATCAAATATTTGTTTTGCTTTCTCAGAGTGAAAGTATGATCCACTTAGTAGATAACATAGTATCTGAACTCTATAAAATAGGGTACATTTGGTTCCTCCTAAATTTTACTTCAACTACACCCTGTTTCCAGTAAGTTCAGAGCAGTATGGGCGGAACATGGGAGCAACAAAGGATTATATATCCTCCCTTTTCTAGAGATTGTAGAGCCTGTTTGAACACAAGAACAGTTTTTATTTTATTTTTTTTAAGAAATGAGGAGAAGAGGCATGGAGTTATTTCTGAAAATACAAAAGATTTCCCTTACTGTTCTCTAAAAGCTCTTCTGAATGTAATCATTTAGATGATAGAATTTTTAGAGAGCTCAGAGACAGGAAAAAAGTGACTTGAAAATTTATCCATTGTCCTATATCTAGATTTTCATTTAGGAAAGTTTTGACTGAGCGTGTGCTTTGGGATATATAACTAGGTACTTGTACTTTGTTTTTACCCCAGAGCACTCTCCAATTGCTGATGATTCTGGATGTTTGAGGTTTTTAAGAGATTCCTTTCATGAATGAGAAAGAGGGTGATGGGCTTGCACAAACACAGGGATCTCTGACAGGGTCTTGCCAAGTGTTGTGGTTCTTCCCTAGCCTTCCAGCCAGCCAGCACCACAGATAAACCTGTGACATACTGAGATGTGCTCAGGTGGACTGAGATTTGAACCTTGGGCCTTTCTTTGTGGTTCCAGTGATACCTTACGACTTGCGCCACTACAGTTGAACTGGGATCCTGGATTTTCAAAAAGGGTCACCAGAATGATTTTTGTTAACAGAACTAGTGAAAAATGGGAAGAAATTATGCTTTAATATTTATCCTGGGGCTGACCCCATAGGGCAGCGGTTGAGCACTATGCAGAGAGAGCTGGATCCCACATGGCTGATAGAGGTTCAGTACCCAGCCCCAGCAGCTTAAAAAACATGCCATGCACGTACATGCATGCCCCGAATCTGAAGGGATTGGGAGAAGGAGGAAAAAGGATTGTGGCATGTCCAGGCCCCATCCATTGGGGGTGCTCTATCTCTAATACACACACGTGCAAACTTCTGACACTAATAAAAGAAAATACTGGTTCTAGGCCACAATCAGAGGTACTCAGTTTTTCTGCTGCATTATTTAATTTAAAAAAAATTAAAACATTATTTCCTAATTAGAAAACAAACATACCACAAATGCTTAAGTTTTTCTTTGGAAAGATTTTTGTTACAGGGCGTGTGTGCTCGCTGGAGAGACACAGAGAGAGAGAGACAGAAAGCGAGAAATCACCCCCAAGGGGTATGGCCATGCCACAATCCCTTTTCCTCCACTCTCTTCTTGGGATTTTGGACATGCTCCTGGCATGAGTTTCAAACTGCTGGGTCTGAGACTTGAACTGTAGTTGGCCATGTGGGAATTTGGCACCTTAACCACCACGCCACCTGCTGGCCCCAATGCTTATGAATTTGACAGTAGAACATGGATTCTGGAGTCAGAGAACTATTCTTACTAAACTTGTGTGCTGTCATTTATTTTCTTCCTGCAGGTACAAGAGTGTCTTGTGGAACTGTTTTAGTCACTGTAGGAAAAGAGAGGAGGAGAAGAGGAAGGAAAAGGAAGGGATGGGAACTGGGTGAACTATACTGTTGGGTCATCGAAAAAGTCACGATGTATTTTTCTATGCAAGTATGCGTCGTGACTTTTCTGACGACCCAATATGTAAAGTCTTTAGCAGAATACTTGGCACATGAGAAGTGTTCATTTAATGTAAGAAAGGATAATGGCAGGAGAATAAAATTCCAGAATCAGTAAGTAGTTTTTCCAGATCTTAAATTTTTACGGTTGACCATGAAACCCCAAACGAAGGCCTTGAGTGGCATATTGCAGGAAGATTTCATGCAAAAAGAATCATTGGTGAAATACTTGTTTTCCAGGAAGCATTCTGAAAGGTGACTTTATTATATTACCACCTAAAAAAATGTTTTTTTATTTTTTTAGTGTAGTGACTTATAGTAATGTAATAATTATTTGGGTACTTGCCTGAATTAGTAAAAAATGTCTTTTAAAATTTGAATATTAATCACTTTGCTCTGAGAATAGAAATGAGGTGTAGATAATAATTTATAAATGAATTGTCTTGGTCCCCTTCCCCCTGTTTTTAGTTGTTGGTGGCAAAGACAATTTTAGTTTCAGTTCTGTGTGAAAATAATTATAGATTCAGTTCTTTTGATGATCTAGATTAAGGAAGCTAGTGGTTGTTTGTGAGTTTGGCAGCTATTTTACATGTGATCTATTGCAAAAATTTCAGCTAGTTTCAGTTTTAATGGACATATGAATTCAACTTTGTGGAAATTTATGAGCCATGTACTTATCAATGCTATGTTTAGTCTGATAACACTTAAACCTAATGTAACCCTGTGGAAGAATTAAAATAATGAAATCCTTTATTTTTATTTATTTATTTTAATTTGACTGGAAAGGGACAATGTAAGAGAGAGAGAGAGAGTGAAAAAGCAAGCCATCAGGTCCAGGATTCGAACTGCAGTTGGGCATGTGGGAGTCCAGCACCCTTAACTGCCATGCCATCTGCTGGCCCCGTGAAATCCCTTTTTAAAAAAGATGAATGTGGTAACAGGTGGGAGTGAGAGTAGTGGAAAAGGAAAAAGGGAGAGATAAGTAAAAAGATAAGAAATAGCGAGGCTAGCAGGTAGTGTGGTACTAAAGGCACTGGACTTCCACATGGCCAACCACAGCTCACGTCCCGAACCCATGGCTTGGGTGTGTGTGTGCATGAGTGTGTGCCGAAAATCCAAGAGGAGAACGGAGGAGCAGAAATTGTAGAACGGTCATCCCCTGGGGGGATGATTTCTCACTTTACCTCTCTCTGTCTCTTTCCGGTGAGTGCACTTGCCTTATGGCAAAACCTAAAAGGAAAGAAAAGTTACAAAATAGCAGATATATAGGATGAATAGATATAGAGATCTAATGTACAACACGAGAACTAAAGATAATAAAATTGTATTAGGAGTTTTTGTTAGATTTTTAGATGTTCTTGTCTCAAAAATGTAACTATGTGAGATGGTAATTATGTCGACCTACTTCACTGTAGTGTCCATTTTATTATCACTATTATTATAAGTATGTATCTCATAACTTCATGTAGTAAACCTCGAATGTACACAACATTTATTCCCCCCAAAATGGATGTAGCTGTTTTTAAAAGAAAATATTTTGCTTCTGATGGTTTTCATAACTGGTAAATGTGTACATATGATCCTTATGATTGAAGAAAAACATTGTACTTATGTTTGCTTTCTGAATTATAAGAGAAATTACTACGTTATATTTTATTTCTTTTCAGAAGAATAAAGCTTTTCATATAATCTAAGGTTGTCTTTTTTTTTCTACTTATTTTCAGATTTTGGATGATGAAGTTCATGCAGACTTTTATGTAGCTGTTCCAGAAATAATGCCTGAGCTCAATCCATTAAGGAAGAAACTGAAAAAAAGATTTCCAAGGCTTATTCGAAGTAAGGGAATTCTTTTTGTTATTACAGTGTATCAGTAACTTCCTTTTCAACTTTGTTCGGTTAGAAAAAAAAGTTGTAAATAAATATGTAGAATACATAGTTGGTCAGCATAATTCAGGTTTGTGTTAGATGAGAGAACCATGTGGATTTGATATTTTTCTCTTTGGCATTAATATTGGTAATCTAACATAATTTGAAAACCTAGCCGCTTATAATACTGGTTCATTAAATTTAGCTCATAGTCTAAGGCCAAGTTAATGGAATGTAGCATTTACTAGGTATATTATCATCACACTATCTTATTGAATTGATATATTTTTTTTAGAGGTTTTTTTTTTTTTTTTTTCACTAATGGGCGCGG